ATCCTTTCGACATCCAATTTCCCGATTAAATCTTGGGTATGATTTTAGTCGAAACCCAAATTGATTTAATAACTATGATTCTATTTCATATTTAGTAATTCGTGTATAAATCTCTATTCATCTCGCCTTGGCCAAGGACTTTGAATTACTAACTATGAAACACATAGGAAATTCACTTATCTTCATAAGTGTCGAATCCTTTGTAGGCCACTAACAAACTTCCATACATATTAACATAATACCCAATATATCCCTTTATACGATTGTGCTAGCAACCAAAAGGATAAATCAAAGTAGAATGTAATATGCACAAAGTTACCATTGTGCCTCAAGCCTTAGGATTAGTCATGTACTATTGTAACATGAAAATACTTATTCGACAAGACAAATCTTTCATTAAGTATTTTCATACGGTCATGTTCAGTGTACTTGTTCTCTAACAAGCACCCACATATATGTATTTGCGTCGCACGCTAATGTTGATGGAACGCAACATTCTTGTCCAACAAGCATACATACTATGTGCAAGTCTTTTATGGATTATTCGATATCCCATTTCAAAACATCTGTCGACTTGGAACTTTATTTAAAATCACAGCTTTCAAGGTATGTTCCATGATCACCATCTCTATGCGCAACCATACCTTATAACCATAAGTGATTTAGGGATTTTATCTTAAGTGCGATTATAGGATAAAAACTTACTCTTAAGATAAAGTAATGCCTTATTTACAATATAATTCCAATAGATAGTATTTACAAGTAGAATACGTCCAATCCGATTGAAACGCCGGGTATCCTACTCTAACAGTACCTTGGTTTATCAACTTCTGGTACAGTCACTCTTTTGTGAGTTCCGTCTAAGGCGCTAGAAACCCCTATTTAAAAATTGAGATTTAGTTTATCATATTGTTAATAACAATTAAAATATCTTTTACTAAAATCTCATATTTAATAAGCTTTAACATGTGAAAATACCTTGAACCATTTCTATCTGTTGTTATTGTTGTTTGAATCATCAACCGGCTCAGGTTTCACTTAGAGGATAGAGTGAAGACGCAAAATCACCGAAAGGACCTCATGTACGTAAATGCTTACAGTATGACTAGACCTCTTAAAGTCAAATTTAACAACCTTTATCTTTTTATATTGAGAAATTATAGAAATAAAGAGTGAAACCTTCTCTGTAATTGTTACATATTTGGAATCAGACAGACCAGTATGTGTACGAAGAAGGTAACATAACCTAGCGAAGTGATGTAGGGAAACGTAAGAATGGGACGATATAAATGAGATCGCAATCTCAAGAACATCTAAAAACGATATCAAATCATCTCTTTCATTCAATAATGCATAATCAACTGAATAAAACAATAGATAGAGAGTCCTTTAAATAAGGCTCCTAAACTCTATTTCTAATTTGTCCAACAAGACAAGATCTCTTATAATAATATTTAATTTCTAACTTATTATCCAAGATATCAATAATAATAATAATAATAATAATAATAATAATAATAATAATAATAATAATATTATTATTATTATTATTATTATTATTATTATTATTATCCTAATAATTATGGCCTTATCTGCATCATTCTCCCGCGGTTTGGAAGGCTTCGAAGCCGACGCGCTCCCGTGGTTGGTGTGTGGAGGTGACCTCATGGTATTAATTCCTGTCGTTTTCCCCTGTCGAACACGAAGGTTGAAAACACTGTGATCTACCTTGGCTAGCCACAAAATTCTCGGTTGCTCGAATGACACTTCTCCTCTTCTCAACTTGTGTCACTCGGTTAACCCAAACAAATACTTCTAAAGTCATTGCCCTCTCCTCGTTATTGGAGTTTGCATCATTGAACTGCATCAAAATATATCACCGCATATCAAACTCTTCTGCTTCAAGTTTCTTAAATCTAGATGCAACACCACCTTCAAGGGTTATGAAACATGGATTAAAAGATGACAAAAATTTGTCAGACTCATGCCGTTGGAATTCTCTATACTGCACAACACGACCACCAAGAATTGCATCAAGTTCAACGGTTTTGATAACAGAAGTTACAGTTTCATCCTCCAGCCCCGAAGGCTCCTTATCGAAGATCGGCGGACCGTCGTACAACGGTCCGTCATCTTGCTCTTCCTCAAATTCTGGCATGTCCAAGCGAAACGGGCCCTTCCATCGACCATATTCGCGATCAAATTCCCAATCGCGTAGAGCACGATATCCGCCGACGAAGGCAACCTTCTCTCGCCTAACTCTATCGTCGTGTTGATCGTTGTCGTCCACGAAGATCAGGCCCAGTCGCCGCATGTCACGGCCACCGTATGTAGCGAAGGGGTCAGAATCAACGTGCGGAGGTTGATAATCACCGATGGGGTTCACCTCCAAGATTATCTCCTCGCCGTCTTCGTTGTCGGATGGTGGTTGTAGAGATCTCCAGCGGGGCGCCCCGCCTGGACCACGACCCCCACGTCCTCCATGAACTCCCGCGCAAAGCCCCCGGTTGCTGGCGTCACGGTTCGTCAGCAAATCCCAAACCACGTTGTTAAGCGTCAAACGCAAATCCTCGATCTCCGTCAAAAGATCTGCAAAACAATCTCTGAAACACACGTCCAACGGTTGAAATCAGTAGTCGATCTGTTGAAACCGATCGTTGAAGGTTGCATCACGTCGTTTGTTTGCGGCATCTTGTCATCCCGGCGACATCGCAGATCGTACTGACTGTTGATACCTACTGATGTAGGGAAACATACGAGTGGGACGATATTAATGAGATCGCAATATCAAGAACATCTAAAAACGATATCAAATCATCTTTTTCATTCAATAATTCATAATCAACTGAATAAAACAATAGATAGAGAGTCCTTTAAATAAGGCTCCTAAACTCTATTCCTAATTTGTCCAACAAGACAAGATCTCTTATAATAGTATTTAATTTCTAACTTATTATCCATGATACCTATAATAATAATAATAATGATAATAATAATAATAATAATAATAATAATAATAATAGTAATAGTAATAATAATAATTAAAGCCTTATTCGCATCATTGAAGCGTACAAATGGGAAGGATAGACGAGATACTCTCTCGATAAAACTCAAAATCAATTCATTTTTTCATTCAAAATCAACTCTCCAAATAACAAAGAACAAAGAAGTCTTTAAATAAGACTCCTAAAGTCTTAAACCTAACATGTTCACCAATCTAATAATAATAATGATAATAATAATAATAATAATAATAATTATTATTATTATTATTATTATTATTATTATTATTATTATTATTATCCTAATAATTAAGACCTTATCTGCATCACGAAGGTTCCCTTAGTCATTCTCAAATTTTCCAGACAATCTAAGTCATTCAAGGTTACCAAATTGTTCAAAGGTTCTATTTGTTTAGGAATCCTATTTGCCATGACATATTTAATTCGTTTTGTATATTCTGTAGATGTTTTGGACCTCTGTTCATGCCTCAATGCTACCACCATACTAATGAAAATGTACATTCACTCATAATTTCCTCCAATACAAGATAAAGTTCAGCCTTTCTCCGGTGAATATCGGCCATTGTATGTTATACCTTTGATGAGCTTTATGAAATAGTGGATGTAAAATCTGTACAACAGAAATTATGTATCATGCATCATTCTTGTCTATAAAGTTCACAATATACATTAGACAAAAATATATAATATAAAGCAAAAGTTTTTTGCTCTTGTCCGAGGATAACAGACTGTAGGTAGAAGGTGAAAACTTTCAATTTAGTTTCAAATATTAGCTCATTTCTTCCATCACATGGACCAATTGGGAAAATAGAATTCTGGAATAATATGAAATCTACAAGTAAAGCAGAACCAAGCATTGAATCCAAAAATTGCATGTAAATCTTTTATCTAACAATTTGAAATCCATTATGCTATTGCAAGAATTGAAATAAATATCACCAACACACCTTTGTCATTGTTATATCAAAATCAGAAATCAACTATGTTGTTCAAAAGAATAAAACAAACACCAACAATGCACCTTATTCATTGTTCTATAACAATCAAAAATCAAAATATAGTATTGAAAACAATGAAACAAACACCAACAATACAACTTATTGTTCTCTAACAAACTAAAATCAAATATTCTATTTGAAACAATAAAACAAACAACAACAATACACCTTTATTATTGCCATCTAACAAATGGATATCAAATTTGCTATTGCTAGCAATAAAAAGAAAACAACAATGCACCTTTGCCATTGATGTACAACAATCAAAATTCCAAATATGCGATTACAAACAATGAAACAAACACCAGCAATACACTATTTCATTATTTTCGAACAATCAAGTATCAAAATTGCTATTGCAATGTATGAAACAAACATCCTCAATACACGTATGCCATTGTTCTAGAACAATCAGAAATGAAAATATGCTATTACAAACAATGAAAGAAACACCAACAATGCACCTATTTTATAGTTGTAGAACAATAACTAACATATTTGCTGTTGCAATGAGGGAGACAAATATCATCTTACACCCAAATACAAACAGAAAAAATGAACCATGCTTATTTAACCAAGACAAGATTTTGATATATTTTAACACGGTTCATATCATACAAAATTTGGATCAATGAAAACATTCACAATAGAGACAACAATAAAATCAAACAATAAACTGAACCTTGGCTCAGTTTAAATCCCTACAGAGCCAACAAAGCCAAAACATATCTTACAACAGATAAACGATTCTTGCCAGACAAAGATTATAAAGAAAAAAATAAAGTAAGCGACTCTACCTCATTTCAACCATCTCCCATTAATAAATGAAAAATAATGTAGCTGCATAATGTCGGAATGTTTTCTTAAGCAAGATCCAAATGCACCCTTTACACAGTGTAAAGATTTCCAACGAGCATCAATTATGCGACGAGCGTGCAGTCCGCAACAATAAACTCTATAGTGGCTTGGAGAAAGAAAAATGCTTACCAAAACAGAGATTTTCGATTGCGATCTAAGAACAGTGGAAACAATAGTGAAGCTGCGGGAGAAGAAAAGTGAGGGAGTGAGACCAAATTTTGGTATTATCTAAGAGCATTTCGGTAATAAAAAAGCAACTTAACATTGGGATAGTGTATCACACAGATATGAATGTGTAGTCCATCTATTTGTTTGTAATGAAACCTGGCCCAAGCAACATAAAGGGCTTTCATTTAACCGACCAAACATGTTAATCTTATAGAAATAATAACAAAATGTTTGATATCACGCCAAATAACAAATTTAAATTGAATACACCAGGATTTCTAAAGTCTTAAAAAGTCCTTTATAATCATAACTGAATACACCCCCCCCAGACTTAAAGTCTTTGATTATTTGTTTGAAAATTAAAAAATTCTTACAAAATCATTAAATATTTAACTTATGTGAGATCAAGATTTGTTAGGTCTTTTTAAAATTTGCTATGATTTAAAAGGGAAAAAAACATTATACAAAATTCTACTTTAAATCTCACATTGACACATAAGATTTTATAGCATTTCTCTAAATTTGAACATCTTAAAAAAATCTCCAATATCACTCCAAAATCTAAACGAATACACATTATTTAACATTATTTATCTATATTTTTATTTTATAATTATTATTTAATATTCTTACCCGTACATTGCACTAGTAGTATATTTCATAAAAACTAAATGTAACACGAATGGAGAGACTAATTTGACTTCTGAAACTAAAAAGAGTAGAGGATTAGAGATATCTAATCCTAGTGTGGGCCATCATCATCTTCAATAGTTAAGGTTATGCAAAATTGTGTGGCCATCATTCATTCAACACCCCACACACGCAGCCGACCAATATCCAAAATGTCTTTATTTTTTGTTGTCTTCTCTGCTCATAAAAATTATTCACGCACTTGATGGTCGGTTTGTATCATAATGGAAAATTAAGTCATCAATGGAGGTGACCGGGGCCCTCTCCTTCCCACTATTCTCCTCCTCTATTTAACCCTCACATCAGCCGCTCGAGCTCATACGCTCTTTCTACTCAATTCTCTCTCTGTCTTTAAGAGTTGTTGAATTTTATACTTTCTGGTTTTGGGACTTGTTAGAGTGAATGATGGAAAACAAAGAGGAGGACGTGCGAGTCGGAGCCAACAAGTTCTCCGAGAGGCAGCCGATCGGGACGGCGGCACAGAGCGAGGACAGGGACTACAAGGAACCGCCGCCGGCGCCTCTGTTCGAGCCGGGGGAGCTGACCTCGTGGTCGTTTTACAGAGCCGGGATAGCCGAGTTCATGGCCACCTTCCTCTTCCTCTACATCACTATCCTGACGGTGATGGGAGTTAGCAAGTCCGACTCCAAGTGCTCGACGGTTGGGATACAGGGCATCGCCTGGGCTTTTGGCGGCATGATCTTTGCCCTTGTCTACTGCACAGCCGGGATCTCTGGTGATTATTATCAAGTTTTTTTAGAGAATTTCTCCAAAATTAATTATTACAATCAGTTATTTATGGTTGCTGGTAGTTTATTCGTTTATGTGGATTTCTGATTATTAGCTGCTTTACTAAAATTTGGTTGTATTTAATTTATCAAACTAATAAATTTGAAATGGTATTTATTTGTAACATGGGAAAATAATTGAATTTCCAAACAATAAATTTTGTATACTACTTTGTGCAGGTGGTCACATTAATCCAGCAGTGACGTTCGGGCTGTTCCTTGCCAGAAAACTGTCTCTGACCCGGGCAATATTCTACATGGTGATGCAGTGTTTGGGGGCCATCTGTGGTGCTGGTGTGGTGAAGGGCTTCGGTCAGAGGCTTTACCAGAGCAATGGCGGAGGGGCAAACGTTATGGCCCACGGATACACCAAGGGCTCTGGCCTTGGGGCCGAAATTATCGGTACATTTGTACTTGTTTACACTGTTTTCTCAGCCACCGATGCCAAACGCAGTGCCAGGGACTCTCATGTTCCGGTCAGTGCCTTTTCATATTAACCTATGCTTGGAAGCTTGACACCTTTTTTTTTTTTTTTGTAATGTTCAATATACTTGTTTATGATTTTAGCTATTTGTTTTGGATTTTACACAATTTTCTTGTGTCAACTTGCCATGAATAACTAGTGCGTGTATCTCGTGCGATGCACGGATAAACAATATTAAATAATAATTATAAATAGGTATCGAGTTCGAGTCACCCAACGAAAGAAGTGTGGAATCACTATTGATCCTCTCTTAAAAGAGCAAGAAAAAATGTTATAAATTAAAGATGAAGGTAAACGATATTAAATAGTAATTATAAATTAACGATGTGGGGTTAACATGTCATATAATTTACGGTATATCAGTTTATTATAAACAGTATAAAATTAGCTTGTTCAAGAGAACATAAAATTAGTATATTTAAACAATTAAAAACTCCTAAAATATTATATTAACATATGTAAAATTATCTAAAATTTTCTATATTATTATTAAAAGATGTGAAGTCACCTACAACTTTTCTAAACTATTTTGTAAAGAAAATATATCTAAAAACATTAAAGTTTACATTTGTATGAAATATGGTTTCTGAACATGACATCATAAAATATTATAAGCCTAAATAAATACTTTATAAAGTTTTTGAAAGAAAATTTACCTAGTATATATAAAATAAATATTGACATGATCCTGAAAATTATGACGACATTATCCTGAAAATTTGAGTATAGAAGATTTCAAAATTATTATTATTCTTTTGAGTAATTTAAGTACAAAAAATTTCAAAATTATTATTATTATTATTATTATTATTATTATTATTATTATTATTATTATTATTATTATTATTCTTTTATTTAATTTGAGTACAGAAGTTTCAAAATTATTATTATGTTTTAGTTACTGTGAAAATTATTATTATTATTTTAATAAATATTACTATAGAAGATTTCAAAATTATTATTATTTTTTAGTAACTGTAAAAAGAAATTTTGTAGGCATAAAATTTCAAGCTTATTTACAAATAAAATGAGATTTATTTTATATTCAATTGAGACTAAGACAATTTTGAAAAAAAAAAAAAATACTGTCTATTTTCAAAATTATTCTCTTGATTTTTGGAACAATGCATTTGTAATTTGACTTAATTATTGTAAAATTTTGAAGCTTATGGAAAAAAAATTAAAGAGATAAATTTCAATTGATTTGAAAATTTTAAACTATTTTGAATTTCGTGCAGATTGAAACAAAAAAAAAATAGAAATTCATTATGATTTTGTAATTTCCAAGAGGTTTGTTAATTTTAAAGCAGCACAAAATCCTTCATTTAAGGATATGGATAGAAACATGTGATTAGATATTTTTGAAATTCAATTTGAACAAAATCCTTTATATTAGGAAGAGATTTCAAGTAAACCCAATTTTATGGCAACTGAAATGAGAAGGGATTTTGAATTTCAAATTTTGAATTCAAGTTCTAAGGAAAATTTTTCAGCAATCTAATTGTTTAGAATAAAAAACACAATGGATTTTTTTTCAAATCGAAATTATAGGTAAGTTGTAAATTTTTCTCGTCTATTTAAAAATATATGTGAATAATAAGTATAATTATAAATGTTATATTGTTTCATTAATTAGATGTTTTTGTTTTTATATAAAATATTCGAATAAAAAAATTGAAGTGGTTGATTAATTTATTAAACTATGAATAATTGACTATTTCATTTACGTCGTCAAAGTTAATGTTGACTTGTACGTTATGAATAATTATTATGTGACTTATGAATTTGGAACTCAAATTTGGACTACACACTAAATTCCCTTATATATTTGATATATGAATATATTAAAAATATAATATCGTAATTTTCTAGAGTTGTTGTCGCTTACCTTATCGTTCAAATTTATCAACTAATTTTCTAGAATTAAATTACAAATTTTTAATTTTATTAACCAATGTTTCTTCAAATCTTATGGTAGCATATCAATAAATATAAAAATAAATTAGGTAGAAATAAAATAATTGATTGAAATTTTTTTAAAATTTTAATCAATAGATTTAGATCAATTATTGATTTCACACTAACTAAAATAAATTATTACGTATGCATATAAATTAGCCGCACTAAATATTTACTAATAATTATCAAATTATTGCAAATCATTTTTTTGGAAATCAAATACCAAAAATAATTGAAAGAATCCATATAAATATGGATTCTTTCCAAAAAATTAAAAGATGTTGTATTGAGATAATTATGAGCATTTAGTTAAAACTTTTTTAATTATACTATTTTTAGTATGTAATTAATGATTTTGGCCGGAAATTGTTTCTGTAAAAAGGTTATTCTTTTATATAATCATAGATATACATAAAAAGGTTATTGGATGATGTTCTGCAGATATTGGCACCATTGCCTATTGGGTTCGCTGTTTTTTTGGTGCATTTGGCAACCATCCCGATCACAGGCACGGGTATTAACCCTGCTAGGAGTCTTGGGGCAGCTATCATCTACAACGAGGATCATGCTTGGGATGATCATGTAAGTTCTTCATCTTCTGCATTTGTTTTTATATATTAAGAAATTGGCAATGTTCGATTATACAAAAAAAAAATAAAATAAAATAAAATAAAGTCGATCAAGTTAAGATCTAATCAACAGTGTTTCCGTATTTGGTGACTAAGATAATGATATGTGTTTTTTTTTTTAACTTAAAAGCCAAAATATCAGTTGTTTTATCGGGCAATATATTTTTTTGATTTAAGCTAAGCAACTTGTTCTCACAAGCTGTGATATTTGATGTTTTGGCAGTGGATATTCTGGGTTGGACCATTCATTGGGGCAGGACTTGCAGCTCTGTACCACGTTGTCATAATCAGAGCTATCCCATTCAAGTCCAAGTGATAAAATCTCTTCAATTTGTGGTCATTGTTTGAAGCACATGGAAGATGGAGATAAAGGACCAAGATATATTATTTCCATGTTCTCTTTTGTTCAACATTATGCGTTTGCTAGAATTTTCATCAGTTGTGTGAATTATGCATGTTTATGCTGCCAGATGCTCATAAAAAGAGCTGGCTTTATAATAATTCAGTCAAAGTCCAGCTTCAGCTTTGATAGTGTCCCCCAACGAAGAGTAGCTAGGTTGGCTGATGGTGTTAAGTGTGTGTAGTGTTTTTATGACAAGCCGCTATAACACGAGAAAGTAGCTATTTTCATTTCGCTTTTATAAATTTTTCATATCACCAAATAATAAGTTAATATTTGTACCCCACTAAACGCGAAACAAATGATGCGATAGATAATTAAATATAATTGATGACGTGCGAAATATTTATGATTTTATGTGAATAGTTATTTGTCAAACAACGGAAATAATTGATAAAATGCAAAATAAATTATGTGATGAGCTATGCGATAGACAAATGAAAATAAACAAAAAATAATTTATAAAACTATGAGACAGACAAACATAAATAATTGATAAAAAGGGAAAAAGCTTATGCGATGAACTAAGCGACAGATAACTTGCTTTATGCAATAAACTATGCGACAACAAGGCGAAAATAATTGATAAAGTGCGAAATATTTATGCAATAAAGTAATCGACAAAAAGACGAATATAATTAATAACGTGCAAAAAATATTATGCGACAAAAAGACGAATATTGTTGATAAAGTACGAAAAACTTATGTGATAACCAATGCGATAGAAAAAACGAAGTTATGATAAAGTGCGAAACATATTATGTGACGGTAAGATGAAGATAAATGACAAAGTGTGAAATAAGTTTTGCGATAAACCATGCGATAGAAAGACAAAGATTATTAGTGAACTACAAATTATTTATGCTATAAACTCTGCAACAGAAATGCGAGTTAATGAGAACTTTAAAAAAAATGCGATAAACTATGCGACAACCGGACAAAGTTAATTGAAAAAATACGAATAAATATGCCATAAACTATGGGACATGTTGCGCAAATTGTCCTCTGATCCGATTTAGACGGCAATCTGATGTTGTGAACCACTTCGAACAGCCTTACACATCCGATGACCTGCAACGCCTGGAGGGGTCCCAACGGACACACTTTGACGCCAGGACAGTTCCCGTTCAACGGTAATGTAACAATGAGACTTTTGCGCGTGTATGTGTGCTGTGTAAAAACAAAGAACATGTGTCCCTTTTATAGTTGAGGTTACGCGTAGGCTAAAGAACTTCTGTTGAACAAGAAGTCATCTCGTGTTTGTCTCTTAATCTGGCTGGATATTTTTGGATCCCTAGAGTCCTTGACTTTACAAACCTTTTCAACCAAGGCTCTCGTTGATCCCTCACGACAAGCTCCTCTAGATTCATTACTCTCTCAGGTACTACAAAGAAGGTTTCTACCGAGCTACTTTATCTTGATGCTTCTGTACCGTCCTTCAAGAAGCACACTCTATGCCTGCCCAGCCCTTTCTACGCCGAGCTGCTCAGAATACTGAGTGATTCAACTCCCCACTTGCTAATCCAGTCAGTAGATAAGCAACCCTTTGATTTCCATAGCTTGACCCACGGTGTCTGTAGATGAATGTCGAGCTACAGCTGAGCTCGGCCTGCGGCCGTACTCCGCGAGCCACTATATGGCCACATCTCTAATAGTAAAAGAACTCTATTTTCTATCTCTGGAAGACTCCTCTTAGTTCCTTCATTTCCTTGCGGCCAAGCTTGAAGAGCACAATCTCGCCGAGGTCATTGTGCTGCTATATCCTTTCAAGGGCCGACCTCGACCCACCACCAACTTCAGGTAGGTTGCCGAGGTTTCTTTGCTAAGCGGCTCCTCCGACTGAGCTCCAGATTTTCTGTGCGCATGTCATCGTATAAATAAGGTTGAAATGCCGACCTACTAACCAGGGCAAGCTCATCGTACACTAGTCGCTTTACCTTTGTTATATCATCTTTCCCC